TTTTTTTTTTTTTTTTTCGTATACATAGTGAGATCATGAGGCAAGCATTATGTTTCTTTTTTTCTTTTTTCGTTTCTTTTCATTATTTTCCTTGTTGTATCTCAATCTGTAGCCGAGTCTGTACTTGCCTTGGCTTGGCATGATTCAGTTTTCAGCTGGAGTCATTTGCATTTGCTGATGATAATACTTTGAGAGACTGTGATAACTTTTGCTTTTCTTGGGCTCATCGGCAGGTGTAGAATGCTGTGAGATTCTAATTAATGACGTGCCCCGTCTACCTGCGTTGCGTAACTTTGCGGCGAATCGCAGCTGCTGGCCGATATGAATAATTTATGGAGCTCAGAATTGATACGAGTATATGTATATGATTAATGCCCGCCCTCCCCCACTCTCATTCTCCACAAAATGTTAGGCCACGTTACTTATACCAGCCGCAACATTTATAATTATAAATAGCCACAGCTGAGCTGGCCCAGCTCATTGAGGATGCTCGAAACGAATTTAAATTCTGTGCAGCGTTTTTGTTTAACGACTTCCATTCTTTATCCACTGATCGATATTTATATACAGATACTTTTATCGATCTGTACTCAATGGACGTCAGCACGCGCGTCACTTTCTGCCATTCACTTGGCTGCCTGGCCGGGCCTCTGTGATCCATGTCACGTAAGCGCATGCACTCGATTGGCCATAGAACTTGGTAGCTAGGCAACAATTACTGCTATGCCAAGCCAATTGGAAGTTAGCATAAGAGGCTGCTCCGAGCTGCCTTCTAGGTGCTTGCTGGTGTCTGCTAGCTGCCGGAGGAATGCACGTGCCAGGCAAGCGTACGGCGTGGAGTATTCCACTTGATGCAGTATTCCACTCGTCTCTGGTTTGTTTGCCCAGTTTGTTGATTTTAAATGAACGCCCGGCGCACTTTGCACAATTAAGCTAATAGGAAATAATCAGAGCCACAGCACTGGGAAGCTGTCGAGATGTAGAAAACTCTGGCCATCAGCACGAGTAGACACAGTGTCTGAGAGAGAGAAATACATCCTTATAATCATATACTAAGCGCAAAGGCAATTTGAGTGGGAGGAAATTAGATTAGAATGGTGGAGAGACCCGACTACTCATATACCCTGCAGGCAGCTGAGAGGCGGACAAGGCGAGGCTAACTAGAGATGTAAATAAGTGTGTACTTGGACGTAATTAGATTAGATTACTTAGTGAGTGCGACTTACAAATACCCTGTAGACAGATTTAAAATACCAAGAGCATGGATAGACCCTGTTTGAGAGGCTGTATATAACAGAAGCTAAAAGCAAAAAAGAAAATTAGTTACTTTGACTGCGTTTATTGAAAAGTAAAACTGACAGATACCCTGGACCTTAATATATATCATAAACTGCAGACCATATAAATGAAGAGATCAACAAAAGTTACATTACAGTTGTCGATGAACTAAATTCCTTATGGAACCGACCAGGTCTTAAGTTTTCTATCAGCATGCTTCCCTGCTCATCTCCCTCAGCTACGGGGTATACGAACAGTGAACAGCAACAGTACAAGCACTGAGAGCTCTTCCTGACTATAGTCAGATATTTCTACGCAGATGCTAGACAAAGTTCATTAACCAAGCGCAAAGCAATTAAACAAGTCACACAACTTGATGATTGACAGACTGAMAGACTGACTGACTGACAGACAGTCAGGCTGGCCTAATCCCATCAGAGAAGTTGGCCAACGGCTTTTGATCGGATCTGAAGTTGATTTTATGAGAGGCCCACAAAACAATGTATTGCTATACATTGATTGCTGGCCCGGCTACTTGTGCCTAGTACTAGCTTAGCTTATGCTTAAAACATGTTCTACATAGTCTTTAAACTCAGCTCCATTAAAGCCATGTCAAAATACATAATTATTATTTCATGCGGTGATTTGTTGCCGAGAATAAAGTTGTCTGAAGACAAAGCATGTCGAATTCCACTTTATTGTTTTCGAAAATTATATTCAGATATTAAACTTAAAACATATCATACACATTTATATTTATTATTAAAAGGTCTCACTATTCATCACGCTTTAATGAGTTTTTTATGTACGAAAAAGGGAAGGGAAATGCATAATTAATTTGTATTAAAATATGAATTTATTTATTTTGCACGTGCCGCATATTTAATATTAAGCAAATTACTTCTTTTGTGTTTCCCCACTCTTTACTTTACATATGTACATATAGTACTTACTTGGCATGCCTGCGCAGTAAATGTGAAGGGGCATATTGGTTTAGTGTAAAAAATGCTTTAAGCTCTATGCTACTGAAGAAGTATATTTGAAAATAAGAGAGATATACATATATACAATTCATATCACTCAGGTATATCAATATTTGTGATATGAGAGATATACATATATACAATACATATTACTCAGGTATATCAATATTTGCGCCTTGAGCGAGCATCACGCAGTCGACTACAACTTTTAGTTTTACAAATTCTTGATCGGGTTTATTTAAATATGCACATTAATTACGGTCTGACTGGGACAAGTTGTAAATGGAAGAACATTTCTATAGAGTTTACTATTCTTTGTGTACCTACAAATTGTTTTTTATAGCAAGCACTGTCTGTGTGTGTGTGTGTGCACGTGGCGTCTGTGTACATGTATGCCTGTCTGTGTGAATGTCTGTACAATTAAATTATTGCAAATTAATTACATTGATTATTTGGGTATTAAGTGGCTGTCATTGCTGCGGCTGTTGCGGCAAATTACGGCGTGTGCACATCAATCTCTGTGTGTGTGCCAGAGGGCAACACACACACACACACACACACACACACACACACATCTGTCTCAGTGTGTGGCAAATGTGATTGCTACTGAATACTATTAATTAGCTGCTTGATTTACGATGTGATTGATAAGCCCCACTCCGCTCAACTTAGCTTAGCGTAATTGTAGTTTCACTTTTTATTGAGCGCACTTCATCTTCATCATGCTCCCCGTGCGATTAAAGATACTTTATTAAGTCCTTAAGTAGCTGCAATTAAGTGGTCTAAGTTAATTGAATCTACACTCTGTTGTTGTTGTTGTTGTGGTCTTGGTGTTATTTGACTGTCTGGCAACTCCGCCCAGAACTGGAGCATTCCGCGCAAAAGTTGAAAGACGAGGCAAAGAAAACACACACGCACACACACACACATAGACATACTGAGTAAACAAATGACGAATATGTGCATAAAGAAAAAGACAAGTAAAGCGGACAAAAGCAAACAAATGATGCAAAACAAATTACAAAAGTTACTTCGAAGCTCGAACTCAACATTTTACAAGTTGAAGAAAACGAAGAGAACGCCAATAATAATAGAAATCAACATGTTCTAGAGGCCCTATAGACACACACACACAGACACATAAACACACACACATATAACTAAACACATAATCATTTATCTTCAAACAATTGCGCCGTGTTTCTTGCACGTGTTCGAGTTCAGGTTCAGGGCTTTGCAGTAGAGTCTGTGCTGTAGGGCGACTGAGCTGTTCGGGGGCGGGGCAGTTCAAAACAAATCCGACTATCTGAGTTACAGTTCGCGCTTTTCCGCAAAAAGTTCACGTTCTGCGACCGATGGCAAAAAAAAGTATGAGAAAACGAATAATAACAAAACAGTATAAGTAAATCAAAAATAAACGCGAAAGAAAATAAAGCCAAAGCAATAACAACGATACAAGAAACCGAAACGAGCGAGAGGGAGGGTGAGAGCAGTGGCAGCTGCATAAGCAAAGCATAAGCAGAGGGGCAGAGCGGCAGAGCGGTGACGAAGAGTGAGAGGCAGCGGCAAAGCGCAAATGAAATAAAAGCAAGACAGGTAATAAAATATAAAAAGCTGACCGTGAGCAATGTCAGGGGCTCATGGCGCTTAGGCGCCGTTCATTTGTTTGTTGCGTTTGGCCTGGGACTGCGCGCGAGTGTGACCAGAGTGTGCGGCGAGAAACCGTTCGACGCGAGCGCTCGCACAAATTTATGCATTGTCAGCAGCGCCCAGGCAGACAGACAGGCAGACGGATAGAGTCAGAGCGGCAAGCGCAATGGAAACAATAGCAGCCGGAGTAACTGAAACGGCAACAGCAGCCGGTTGAGTTAAATTCAATTTAACGCTCCATGCCGCTTCGTTATTTGGTTTCTAGTTCAAGTTTAGGGTCAATAACTGTCGATTGCATTTTAACCAAGTTGGTCTGGCCAGCAGCTGTTGCTGCTGCTGCTGTTGTTGCGGCTACTGTTGATTTACAATTTGTAAAATTGGCAAACAAACAGTTTACGACAAAAACATAGAAAATGGAAGAGCGTAAAGCGCCGACCAAAGCTCAACAACGAAACGTGTATACCCTTTCCACTGGCAATAGACGTGTGTAATATATGATAGCCAATAGGCAGATCTCTAGTTTCGCCCATAAGCCAAGTTGTCTATGCTGTAGACACTTTAACTTAACATGCAAATTGTTGTCAACAAAAAAAACAAAAACATGAAAAAAAAATTCAAGAGTTTGTCGATCTATTCGTCAGCCTGTTTATCTTTATCTGTGTGCACGTATGAGTGCGCTTTTGTTTATCTTTTTGAAGAAGAGGGCGCGCTAAGTGAATCACGAGTAAAGAAAATGCTTTACAACAACAACAACAACAACACTAATATCAGCAGCAGCAACAGTAGCTCAGCCAGTCAATGGGATTTGCGATTTACGAGCAACTTTATTGCAGATTCAATGCATCATCTATCTCTGTTTGCGAGAAATAAAACTAATGGACATTCAGGTTAAAGGTTTCAAGCGCTCTGAGCACAAAACTCAAGCCAAACAACTAAATCGTTGAGTATATGTGATATATGCATGCATAAATATAAAAAGGCAAACAACAAGATTTAAGACTTTTGAATAAATCTAGCAAGATTTCTGAAAAAATATTTACAAAAATTCTTAAATTTACATAGACAAAAAAAAATAAAACCTTAACTTAAGTAAGATGATAAATGATATACGCATAAAAGTGTAATTAATCGTTTAGTCTTAGTCTTTGCCTTAGTCTCTTCCTATATTTATGTTAACCCTTTTCAGAAGAAGAAAACTATTATTATATACATATGTTTAACCTTACAAGCCCAAGTACATTTCGAGAATTGAACGGAAGGAATATATATAAATAATATACTTAGTAAAATGAAAACTTTCCATCTAATCCAGTTTGGCCTCTTCATCAAATTTCTTTACACAACGTTAATAAACGTTAATATTTATAGCCTGATGACGTAATTGGAGCACACAGCCATATCCGCATCCGCAACTTAAACAATTTCCCACCAATATGTTTATTTTTTCTTATTTTTGGTCGTTTTTCGGTCCCATTTATAAGGTTGAATGTCCTTTTTTGCCTAACTGGCTTAGCTGGCTTTCAACTGTTTCCGGCCTTTATTATGCTTATTGAATTAAATTTGTGTGCGCAACCTTTTCGCTCACTTTGTATTCGAATTCGTCCCACAAAATATGCTGGAAAAGGTCCTAATAAACTTTTGCAAATGAATGTCATGAACAGATATCCGGCAGGGAATCTGACTTTATATGTTGAACGTTTTTTTTTATGTTTCGGTTTGCAGAAAGTGTTTTGCCGTAGTGTCAATAAATTTATGTATTATTGTTACAAAGATCATGCAAGTCTCTTATGATGAATGGCATTTATCATTGATAAAATTATACTTTCGATAATTGTGAATGCTCTGAATAGTTAATGAGAATAATTTTAACAATTACAAAAACATTTTATTTATTTATAATTTTTTAAATTTCATATCATCAAAAATGTCATATATCAAGCCTTCCTGTGTTTTTTTTTTTTCTTTGCTAAATATGTTAATTTCATTGGGCTCGCTGCTAAATGGATCTCTTGAATTACTCACACCTGAGTACAGGGCATTTCCTAGTCGACTCCCTTATAGGGTGTCACGCTCATTTTGCTTTAGTCCCCCCGTTCGCAACCTTTTTTGGGTCTGCTTCGATTATCGCATCGCATAATTAAATATGCAGCTACGTTCGAGTTCAAGGTAGTTCCGGTATGATGATGGCAGGCAACGTAACTTACCTTGCTGCATGTGTGTGTGCGTGTGTATATGCCAACTGTGCCATTAATTGTCGACCTCATCTGCAGCAATCAGAGGCTTAATGATGGAGTAGCATCGAGTTTGCGTAGAATGCGGCTGACAATCTTGCACTGACTGCGCTTGGCATTGTGAGCGCCGAAAACTCGGTCAGTCGGGAGCTTCGCTCGTAAGGTGAGCAACTGAGATCTGTAAACGGGTTCAGTGAACTTAGCTCAGTTACAAATCCATGTCGAGTCACTCGCCTGGGGCACTGAAACCTAGGCGAACGAGCTGTAACCGAGGGCTGATTCTACTAGATATTAAGTAGCCGTTGTGTTGTATTTGCGTTGGGTCTAGTAGAGGAATGATAGATCAAATTTCAACAAATCGATTGCAGTAAGTGTGTCAGTCCAGTCGATGCCAATTGCGCGGAAAGCAGAAAATCCACTTTTTGTCTGCCCCACTCTGTCCCTGGCGCAGTTTAACGGCTGTTAAACCAGTTATTTGCGTTGCTGAGAAAGCGGCTCAAAGAAATTCTCTGCGCTGACGTTGACGTTGACGTTGGCGTCGCTGCCACGCTCAATTTCCCACTGCAAGCCGAAGCTCTATGACTGCAGTGCAGTTCAGTGTATAACAGTATGAGTGAGTGTGTGTGTGTACCTTAGTGATCAGCTGTCGCTTGAGCAGCAATAACAGCTTCAGCTCAGCTTCTGCTTCGGCGTCAGCTCCAGAACTGTGCTACGTGCTGAATATATGTAAGCAGCGCATGCGCTGCCCGACGTCAGTTGCTGCGCAGACGCGTTCATGTGCACTTCACGTTCACAATCGCCCGTTGACGTTATCGCCAATTCTGTATCGGTATAGTGTATCGATAGTGTTACACACACATACACACACACACACTCAATAGCGCAATAGCTGAATTTGCAAAATGGCAGCGCGCAGTGCCTATATCACAAACGAGGTGAGTTCTTCCTGCTTTGCCAAAACAGACAAGATAACCCAGCCAAAAAGCAAAGGCATTAAATAATATTATAGCAAAAGTGCCTGCCTGGCCCGCCAGCGGAGAGCCACTCAAGAGCCAACCGCTAATTAGTGCTGGCTCATTAAGAGCCCAGACACTGTTGAGCAAACTGTTTGCGACTCAAAAGCAAACAAACAGAAATTGTCGGTAACTGGAGTATGCTTGACAGATGGGCTGCCCGGCTTTYTAGCTGGCTGGCTGGCTGGCTTTGCGGCGCGCCAAATTCTTTATATTTTGCATAATTAATATAGACACATAAATGCAAACAACATCAGCTGAATTCGCAGCTGACATTCATTCCCTAGTCGTGCCCGAAAAACCCGTTTTAACACTCTTGCTTTTTAGCCGCTCTCAGTTCTGTCTGGGAAAACTTTTACCCACCAACAACAGCCAAAGCAGCAAAAGTTGGCTTTATCTTCATAATTAGTATGAAATTAGTATTAATTTTGCAACAGCCAAACATAAACAGCTGCAGGGCACAGAGCAACAACAAAATCAATAGCAATAGAAATGAAAATGAAAATGAAAATGAAAATAGAAAGTAACAAAAAAACAAAAACAGCAACTGAAACTGAAACGGAAATGGAATGAGCTGGAGGTGTTTGTTCGCCCTGCAGCAGAAAATATTAAATTCAAATTTCATTGGAATCACAATTGAGATGCGGTGCTGAAATGTTATCAAAATTAATTAGATTTAAATGGG